TCTCTCTCTCTTCCCCCCCCCATGTTCTCCTCAATAGATGCACAGGCTGATTTTAACCCAGGTCTATATCTCAGTCACATGACTGTAATCCTGAAGTAATTCCTACAGTTCACAGCCACAAAAGGTGCCGTTGAGTTCTGGGAAGCAGCTATGGTAAAGCCCCTGCCACACCAACCAAGCACTGGCAAAGCCAGATGTGACTGGAACCTGCCTCTTTCTCTCTCTCCTTTCTCCAAAATCTTACAGTGAAACTGCTCAGTACCATTCTTTTTCATATCATGGGCAGGATGAGCAGCACTTGGGCATAGCAGTTTCTGAAAAACCTGGGAGGGCCTCGGAGGGCCATGCAAAGGACTCCGGAGAGGTCGCCTGGCTAACTCACTTAGCCACAAAGAAGTTGACTGAAGGAAACTGTACACCCATGGCTGTGGTTGTAGCTGCGGTCACTACCTTCTCAAAATAGCTGCCCAATACTCCTTCACACAGTATGTTAGCCCCAAGCTGTCACTCAGAGCTCACATGTCAGCCCCTTTCCATCCATTAAGAGGTGTTTGATACTTCTTGGAGAAACCTGAAAATACTGGTCTCTCTCTAATCAGTATTTTCATTGGCCAGTGTGAAGAATCACAAAGAGAAGAGGGAATAAAGGAAGGAGGAGAGAACTTTTTTAACTGCCTTATGCCAGGCCCTCACTCTTTACCTGGTGTAAATCTGTAGCCATTCAGTTGCTAGGTGTCACCTGATTAATATGTGTTAAGGCTCATGTTGGGCCACAGCTGCATTAGGGAACCAAGAAAAATGGATGAAATACAAGTGGACCTTGAGAGACATCCTCCTCCCTCCGAGAGAATAGAAAGGACTCTCACAGTTTGCCAGTTATCAAGAGGAAGCATTTCTTCTGATAGACTTTTTTTTTTTTTTTTCAGAACTGGGGATTGAACTCAGGCCTTTGTACTTGCCAGGCAAGTGCTTATTCTACTGAGCCATCTCCCTGGACTTTCTTCTTACAGACTTTCTCGAAATGAGGCACCCTTGTGCAGCTCCTTCCACCTGCTTCTTATTTGGCCTTTCTGTGAGTCTTTTGTTGGATCCTCTCCCTCCCTCTGTGGTCAGTGCTGGAAAGACTCTGGGTTGTACCCTGTCTTCAGAGCTATTCCCCAAAGTCTTTAAATGCCATCTAAATATCCTGGGTGCCCAGTCCGTAGCCCTACCCTGGACCTCTCTTCTGAGCTCCAGGTCTGTAGATTCCATGGCCTGCTTGGCATCTCTGCTTGGCTCTCATGGTCCCTGCGCTTGTCACAGACCTGAAGCCGACTTCTGCTCCTCTTCAGAGAGCAGCCCTCCATCTGCCCAACTGTCCAGGATGGAAACTTGAAAAGTGATCCTTCATTACTGTATCTCAACCTGAATTCATAATCACTAAGTCCTAGCAATACCACCAATAAAATCAATCTCAACCCCATCTATACACTTTTTCCTGAAAGGACTCTGACTCCTAAAGTACAGTGTACAGACTCAGTTGCTTTGCTTCTGAAACACCATTTCTGGGTGCCATAAACTCACTGGCACAGCTTAATCATCTGACACTTGGTCTCCATTCACCTCTACCTCAGCAAATCTGTATGCAAAAGCAAAAGTGAAATTGTAAATTTCTAAGTCAATTCTACATCCATTTCCTTGCTTAAATCCAACAAGTGATTTCACGTTGCTCTTCTAGCGTGTTCAGCATGGCTCTAGAGGTCTTTCCAACCTGGCTTCTGCCCATTCCCTGGCCAGCTTTTCCAGGTCACTCTCTTTTGGCCACACTTACCTTACTTTCTTTTAAATATGACTGGCGGCAGTGCGGACCAGGGCAACCACTGTGGAAATCAGTGTGGAGATTCCTAAAAAAGCAGGATTGGAGACCCCGTTTGACCCAGTTATCCCCCTTCTGGGTATTTTCTAGAAGAACTGAAAACATCATAGCACAGTGACATAAGTGCACCCATGTTTATAGTAGTGCAATTTGTCATAGCTAAAACTTGGAAACAATCCAAATGCCCATCAACTGAGGAATGAATCAAAAAAGATGCTGTATTTTTATATGATAAAGTATTATTCAGCTACAAAAAAGATAAGCTACAGGCTTTTATAGGTAAATGGATGCAACTAGAGACCATACTCATAGGTGACATAAATCAGGCCCACATGCGCAAACATCATATTATCTTGCTAGTGTAAGAATCTGAAAGTGTAAATAAAATCTGCGAGGTACAACAGATACTCTTAAAAGGAAAGAAACCACTCCAAGGGAGGGAACAGCTAGGATGAAGGAAAAGACAAAAGAAAGGAAGAAGGAAGAGAAAAAGAAATTTATATGTATATACACAGGATAGCTTGGATAATTGTACTGCTGATTTCTGCTAGTCTACTGAAAGAAGCAGTTAATGCTTAATTTTTTTCTCTCTCCTTTTTAATTTTTAAATAACTTTTGGGATAAATTTTACATGTTTATATCTGATAATCTGAATAACTAACTTGAGGCAAACAATATGCAATATAACAACCATTGGTTAATTCCTATCATTTTGCTTCATGAAATTCTGTGCCATTTCTAATATATTGCTTTACTATTTTTGGTATTCTCTTTCAAAAAGAAAGAATTAAGAAGCATCATGTACATGTGTCAACTTCCTGTGATTAGTGTAGTATGGACTGCAAACACATACTAATAAAAGTGACACTTAGGAAAGACAAAGCATCTGAGTCTTCTCATTCTCACGTGGTGGTGCTCTCCCTCCTTAATACACCACCTCTTTTTCTTCTTGCCAATTGTGCTTAATAGTTCCCTCCTCCAGAAGACTTTCTGTTCATTCAATTTTAAATGCATCACCATATTCTGTCACTGATGCTGCTGGTTATCCTATTCAAAAATCTCACATTTTTTTAATGAAATTAAGACAGGGTGTACAGGGTTTACAGGGTCTCACTATGTAGATCAGACTCATAGTGATCCTCCTGTTTCCAGCCTCCCAAGTGCTAGGATTACAGGTGCTCATCACCATGCCCAGTCTCAATCTTCATCCCAGCATGCCCTGGGGCGGGGCCAGCATAGCACACTGAGGATTGAACCCCGGGTGCTGCACAGAAATCTTGTATTTATAATCACACACTTTTAAAAAACTTTTTATCGTGTCTTTCTCACTAGAAGGTGAAAGCAGAAAATGGTTTGTGTTAAGGTTGTTTACCAACATACCTGTAGCACCTGCTATGCTGACAGTAGGTAGCAAGTTCTAGGTTGTCTTTTGGGGAATATCCTTTATGTAATTTGAGCTTTATATACCACTAGTATCACAAACAGAGGTAAATCTTGTTGTTTATATTCACTCACTATTATATGAAAACAATATGTTGGGTCCTTTAGGAGACCTGAAGATATACACAGTATAGACCCTAGTCTCCAGCAGTTTATAATTCAAAAGGAAAATATATGTCTTGGAGAAGAATATAATACAATCAAGAGTATATGCCATTACAATGAGCAGAGGTGACAATTATCAGATGGATGCAGACAGAAAGGACAGATCT